GAGATTATTGTAATGAAATTCTCTATTTGAGTAGTACATATGGATTACCCTAAAAAATATCTTAACTTACTGTAATTGCTTCGTCCAATTAATTCACCACAGCAAAGCTAAGCTAGGTGTATAATAATAATAATTATTGTGCAGTATAACGAACATCGACAGCTATATACTCACGGACATAGATTACAAATCAAGTCTAGATTCAACACAGGTTCAGATCTGGTGGGTCTAATTCAATTTTATTGCAATTAGCGACAATGAAAAACATGTGGTGTTTTGTAATCATATGTTCTGTTACTGTGGTACGTTGGGCCAATGAGTGCTATACACTCATCCCATTCAGATGAGTCGGATTTCACTTTATGGAAAACCATACAAGCCATTGCTTTTTCAATCTCATATTTCTAGAACTAGAATAAACATTTTTTCCTTGGTCAATCCTAGTAGCTTATCTGATTCAGAAATTACATTTATCGTCATCTATGTATGAAGTAATCCAATATCATAATTACCTATTTTTCACCTTGTGTATGTTGATCAGTACCTCTTTAATGTTTATGACAGATGTAAGTATCTTGCAACTCAGCTTAGTAGCATTATGCAAATTCGGTTTTACTGTTTTTAACACAAGCATTATGTGTTTCAATAAGCCTCATTTTACTCATTTCTATTTCTCTACTAGCAAAACAGTTAATAAGGATCATTTACACACTCTTTACACTGAAGACAGGGTGGGAATTCTTACAAGCCATCAAAAGCGAATTCCAGCCCATTAGCTTGGCAGTTCCCAACCACAGATCCTACAGGCGTCATTGGTATGAGCAGTTTTTCCAAGTATTGTAACTTTTCTTAGGAATGTTCATATACAAGCCATGACAAATATGGACATTCGCCCATGATTATTCCTAGCAGTGAGCAGTGACATATATATATATTTCACAAAGGTAATAATGTAAAGCTCTTTGCAAGTCACATTAAGCTTATGCTGCTGTTCGCTCTGTGTTTTTCTATGCAACGCATTACTTTTCACTTTGCTATCTTGAAGATTAGCTAATCAATACCTAATACCCTTGTTATTAACAAATATCTGAAATATTTAATATACTGTGAACTGACTGATCACTCGGCAAGCCCTCACCCCTTTAATGTGAACAATGGCTTGAACTTTTCATCCTAATCAAACTTCTGTTTTGCCTACTAGCTCATGAATGGTTCTTGCTACAAGCGCAACTGTATTTGAAGAACACCTATAAGGCAACCTGAGATATGTTTTACTCGTATCAGCATATCAGTGGCCTTCGATTTTGTTACAGTCTTCACTTTGTCTAGATTATACTTAAAATTCAGCAAGGTGTTTAATTGCTTTTGTGATAGCGTTTTCATATTACCCTGTCAAATTCATTTATCTGAAAATCATTAGTGTGAACTCCCGTCAAGTTATGACTCGTGGTCACCCATAAGATAATGATTGCATCCAATATTAAAATAAAGATGACGGACTATAACGTTAATTCATCTCGTTCTATTCTGGATTATTTAGAGCACATAAATATCTAAATATTTATATAACTGTGTTTTTTTATTTTTGCAATGTATTTGACATGTCTAATATGTTACTCCTTGTTTTGCATATTGTCTGTATCACAGTTCCTGTGGGTTTCTGGTGTAATCCGTTATAGCTGTTGAGGGCACTGCAGCTGGTCGACAACCAGTTATGCTCTTGTATTCAATAACTGAATTTTTAATAGAAGGAATTGATTGTTTCTTATTGGCAATTAATACCAGAATATTGATGATAAAACTCAAAACATTACAACATAGTTCATTACATAACTGACTGTCCGAACTTAGACTTTAAATGTTTATTCATGCCAGGGTACTTACCCTGTGTTTTATTCGGAGGGCCATGTAATTTGCAAATCCTGGCTATGTGCTTGAATTGATCTCAATGAACTTCGGTTTAATACGTAACTGATCGTCAAATCTCGGACTTTAATTGTGCATGTAAACCCGGGTACTAACCCTGTGTTTTTTTGAATGGCCATGTAATTTGCAAATCCTGGCTATGTGCTTGAATTGATCTCAATGAACTTCGGTTTAATACGTAACTGATCGTCAAATCTCGGACTTTAATTGTGCATGTAAACCCGGGTACTAACCCTGTGTTTTTTGAATGGCCATGTAATTTGCAAATCCTGACTATGTGCTTGAATTGATCTCAATGAACTTCGGTTTAATACGTAACTGATCCTCAAATCTCGGACTTTAATTGTGCATGTAAACCCGGGTACTAACCCTGAGTTTTTTGAATGGCCATGTAATTTGCAAATCCTGGCTATGTGCTTGAATTGATCTCAATGAACTTCGGTTTAATACGTAACTGATCGTCAAATCTCGGACTTTAATTGTGCATGTAAACCCGGGTACTAACCCTGTGTTTTTTGAATGGCCATGTAATTTGCAAACCCTGGCTATGTGCTAAAATTCGTCTCAAATCACTATGGTTCATTACGTAACTGACCGCCCAATTTCACTGTGCATTCAAGCTACAGTAATGACCCTGTGTTTTTCCAGAGGACCATGTAATTTGAAAACCCTATCTTTGTGTTAAAATTAGTCCCAATTGGACTTTAATTGTGCATGCAAACCAGGGTACCGACCCCGTGTTGTTTCTGTGTTGCACCTTGTAATTTCCAAACCCTGGTCCAATTCACATTGGGTAATATGTAACTGACTGTCACAATTTTGACTTTAATTGTGTACGAGAACCAGCAGCAGGGGCCATATATATGTCCTTCGAATATACAGTACACTCGGCAAGCCCTCACCCCTTTAATGTGAACAATGGCTTGAACTTTTCATCCTAATCAAACTTCTGTTTTGCCCACTAGCTCATGAATGGTTCTTGGTACAAGAGCAACTGTATTTGAAGAACATCTATAAGGCAACCTGAGATATGTTTTACTCGTATCATCATAACAGTGGCCTTCGATTTTGTTACAGTCTTCACTTTGTCTAGATTATACTTAAAACTCAGCAAGGTGTTTAATTGCTTTTGTGATAGCGTTTTCATATTACCCTGTCAAATTCATTTATCTGAAAATCATTAGTGTGAACTCCCGTCAAGTTATGACTCGTGGTCACCCATAAGATAATGATTGCATCCAATATTAAAATAAAGATGACGGACTATAGCGTTAATTCATCTCGTTCTATTCTGGATTATTTAGAGCACATAAATATCTAAATATTTATATAACTGTGTTTTTTTTTATTTTTGCAATGTATTTGACATGCTTAAGATGTTACTCCTTGTTTTGCATATTGTCTGTATCACAGTTCCTGTGGGTTTCTGGTGTAATCCGTTATAGCTGTTGAGGGCACTGCAGCTGGTCGACAACCAGTTATGCTCTTGTATTCAATAACTGAACTTTTAATAGAAGGAATTGATTGTTTCTTATTGGCAATTAATACCAGAATATTGATGATAAAACTCAAAACATTACAACATAGTTCATTACATAACTGACTGTCCGAACTTAGACTTTAAATGTTTATTCATGCCAGGGTACTTACCCTGTGTTTTATTCTGAGGGCCATGTAATTTGCAAATCCTGGCTATGTGCTTGAATTGATCTCAATGAACTTCGGTTTAATACGTAACTGATCGTCAAATCTCGGACTTTAATTGTGCATGTAAACCTGGGTACTAACCCTGTGTTTTTTTGAATGGCCATGCAATTTGCAAATCCTGGCTATGTGCTTGAATTGATCTCAATGAACTTCGGTTTAATACGTAACTGATCGTCAAATCTCGGCCTTTAATTGTGCATGTAAACCCGGGTACTAACCCTGTGTTTTTTGAATGGCCATGTAATTTGCAAATCCTGGCTATGTGCTTGAATTGATCTCAATGAACTTCGGTTTAATACGTAACTGATCGTCAAATCTCGGACTTTAATTGTGCATGTAAACCCGGGTACTAACCCTGTGTTTTTTGAATGGCCATGTAATTTGCAAATCCTGGCTATGTGCTTGAATTGATCCCAATGAACTTCGGTTTAATACGTAACTGATCGTCAAATCTCGGACTTTAATTGTGCATGTAAACCCGGGTACTAACCCTGTGTTTTTTTGAATGGCCATGTAATTTGCAAACCCTGGCTATGTGCTAAAATTCGTCTCAAATCACTATGGTTCATTACGTAACTGACCGCCCAATTTCACTGTGCATTCAAGCTACAGTAATGACCCTGTGTTTTTCCAGAGGACCATGTAATTTGAAAACCCTATCTTTGTGTTAAAATTAGTCCCAATTGGACTTTAATTGTGCATGCAAACCAGGGTACCGACCCCGTGTTGTTTCTGTGTTGCACCTTGTAATTTCCAAACCCTGGTCCAATTCACATTGGGTAATATGTAACTGACTGTCACAGTTTTGACTTTAATTGTGTACGAGAACCAGCTGCAGGGGCCATATATATGTCCTTCGAATATACAGTACATTGAGTATGTTGTCCACAGAAACCCAGAATAAATCTAGACATTACTTTAGACATTCAGTTATTAATAATGCAAAAAAGATGCAGTATAATGTCATAGTAACATCATTTATTGCACAGTTATCGACATATGAAGTTAACTTTAACTATAATTATCCTAGATACATGTAATTTAAAAGTGAAGGGTATTATTTGCGTGCATTCGGTATACATAATTCTTAATAATTACAGTTAATTTGATCTAAATACTGCCAGAGTGGCTTTCTGATATATGACTGGAGAATTGGTGTTTTGATTCCACTCAATAATTCCCAACCTATGATCTATCGCATCCTACATATACAGTATGCTAAAGTGTACAGCGTCCAAGACATAACTTGTATGGACTCCCAATCGGATTGAACAACATTCTATCAAACATTCATTTTTGTTCTAGAATAAACCCTTCATTTGACTTGTACAGGAATTAAAATATATTTAGTCCTATATGCAAACGGAGTAGACCTTGCAACTGATAACGTATAATTGTTGAAGCACGTGGTCTACAGTACGAAGTTATCCAAAACTACGCAATGAAAAGTACCTAACTATTGATAACTGGCACAAAGATAATTAATTGCCATCTTTCTATGTACTGGCTTGAATCAGATCGTCAACGAAATTAGGATCATCAGTGTAATATTCGCAGGTATAGATGGTATACTCGTCATTTTTGCGAACCAAACAGAATCTATCACGAGTTGAGATTTTCTCAGAATGTGTCGCTAATAACTCGATCTCTGTGGCGATGGCTGATGGACAATCCTATATGTGAACAAAAACATTGATTGATGGAATCAGAGAAGAAAATGTTGAGACGCAATAACAAATAAACATATACGACTGTTTCCCTACGAATGTTTTCATTCCACACAATTTAGTTACTTTGTAAATGACTGCATTATTTCAAGCAGTATTAGTATATCAAACATTTAAAGTGTAAAATATGGTATTATACATTTAAAAATGAAGTAAATAAGTGGTACAATAATCAAACTATCACAACACCCAACCTTCTCTCTCTTTTTTCCCCTACGATTGTGTTGATGCGTTTTTGCTTATTGTAGTGTATGTTTACAAAGAAATAAACATTGCAGGTTACTCACCACAATTGTACAAACAAATTGGACCCATGCGTCTTCTATTTCGTCGACCTCACATCGCTGACAATTGTCAGTTGGCACTGCTACCGTTCCCTGTAAAACAATGTATATCGATATATACAAAGTTGTTTTAGTTAATATGAAACATAATAATGAAAAACCTTGTTACGCCACAATATTAGAAAATGTTGTTCATTATGCAGTATAAATTTCTCTATTTAGTGAATATATCTCGTTAGGAGGCTATGACTTTCTCCAAAACACTTCAACCCATGCTGCAAGGCTTAGTTTAGTACCAAATTTGTCTTAAAGTCCTAAGTGGGAATCATTGCTTTATCACACAAGAACAAAACCAGCCCAGTTTCTATTGCACACAAATGCACATTGTGATATTAAATTATGACTTTTGACAGAACTGTTTCACTAAATATATTGCTTGTGTCAAAACATCAATAATGTTTTACTTGAATGTGCAAAATTAGCGGAATTCAAAATAACGTACTATATCGCCCTTTTTAATGGAGTCGATTCGGTCTGCGAGTATTTCCACATATGCATAGTGACGTGTACCAGGCACGAATGCTGCATTGCCATAATAATATGCTGCATGGAACATAACTTCTTTTCCCTCAATAGTATTTTCAATATCTGCTATGTCAAGTGGGCAGGTGAAATCCTCTGTGCATACATTATGCCATACTCCATTGTCGTACATAGCACCATTACAATTCGTACAAGTGCCATTAGCAGGGTTTCCAGGGTGATCTTGAGCATGTGATGTCACTGCCATCATGATCAGACCCCAAAATGAAAGTGATACAAACATGGTTCCTGAAAATAAATGTATTAAATAAATAAAATCCTGTTTCCTGAGAATAAATACGTCAGTCAGTCAGTCAGTCAGTCAGTCAGTCAGTCAGTCAGTCAGTCAGTCAGTCAGTCAGTCAGTCAGTCAGTCAGCCAGCCAGCCAGCCAGCCAGCCAGCCAGCCAGCCAG